GGTTGGCTGGGGGCAGCGGGCGGGAGCCGCTGGCACGCAGGCAGCGCAGCGGCTCTGGAGAGCGGGATGCCGGGGGAGCCTCTGCGGCAGCAGGGCTGCTGTAAGCTTCTCCAGGCTTTGTTTGAACTGGGCAGAAAGGTCAAGTAGCATCTGAGGACCCATGAATAACATGTTGACAACCTTGCTATCTGTTAATGGCAAAACTAGGTCTGTTAATATTCAATGGATGTCCATTCAGTTTATTTAAACACATTTTAGTATCTGTAGAGCATGCTTTGCTGTATCTAATCACTGTTTGCGTTTGATTAAAGCTCCTGATAATGAAGCACTTGAAAGGCGGGTGTGCGGAGCCGTTGGGCGCTTGCTGCTGCAGGGGTAGCAGTGAAAACAGAAGCACCCCTTCTCCCAGGGCAGCGGTGCCGCTCCGCTGTGAGCCCTTGGCTTCCCCTGCGTCTGTTGAAGCTGTTTTCTTCACAGCTTTGTCTGGTCTTGATCAGAAACCTCTTGCTGGAGTCGGGCAGTTGCTGTGCACTTGCTTTGCTCCAAGCCCCCAGCCCAGAGCAGAGCACGGGGCCGGTGGCTTCACCCCATCCCTCACCCCGCTCCCTGGGGGCAGCTGGTGCACGGGCAGCTGCTGGTTTAGCCCACGGAAGGCAGCTTGCTCAGAAGCCTGAGCTTTCTGTGCTCGAACTAAATGTGACTCTTATCTCCAGCTGCCTCTGAACCTCCGCTGCTTCCCCCTTAGCCCAGTTCCCTCGCTGGGGAAGGGTCACTGTGAAAGCTGGAAGCCTGTGGCAATAACCCGCCGGTGCGCTTGTGTGCCTCTGTCTCGTCTCTCACGCAGAGACGCCTTCTCTCCTTCGCCTTCCTAGGTCCCATCAGCAGCGTCCTGGTGAACAAATACGGCAGCCGGCCCATCATGATCGCTGGCGGGTGCCTCTCCGGGTGCGGGCTGATCGCAGCCTCCTTCTGCAACACGGTGGAGGAGCTCTACTTCTGCGTCGGGGTCGTGGGGGGTAAGTGACAGCTCTGCCCTGACGGGGCTGCAGCGGAGGGAAGGCCTCTCCAGAGGCAGCAAGGGAATGTCTGCAATGGATTGCATAAATCCTAGATCCCTGCCCTGTATTCCAGCAAGAGATGGGCCGGTGGCGTAATGTGGAGAGACTGCACTGTGCCTGTACACGGGACTGGCGTTTGGTATTGAGGGCAGAGAGCGTCTGTTGTTCCTGCCCCGGGCTGAGGTTTGTCACGAGCCAGGGCAGTGCTCCCCTTTCAGCTCCCCAGTTCCTACGACCGGCTTCGCTGCTGCCCATGTGCCTCCTCCCGAGCTGGAGTGCCGCTTGTGAGATGGGGGAGTTAATGCAGCTGGGAAGCCCCTGGAACTGACACTCTGCTGCTGCTCGTGCCACCAGCCCTTCTGCTGGCGCTGCTGGCTTGTGGGGTGGTGGAGCTGAGCCCCTTGTCTTTCCTCTTCTCTCCCTCAGGCCTTGGACTTGCATTTAACTTGAACCCAGCCCTAACAATGATTGGCAAATATTTCTTCAAGAAGCGTCCGCTGGCTAACGGGCTGGCGATGGCGGGCAGCCCCGTGTTCCTCTCCACCCTGGCACCTGTGAACCAGCTCTTCTTCGGCATATTTGGCTGGCGTGGCAGCTTCCTCATCCTCGGGGGTCTCTTGCTGAACTGCTGCGTCGCCGGATCCCTGATGCGGCCCATAGGCCCAAAGCCAGATCAGCTGAAGAAAGAGGCCGCTAAGGATGTGCTGCAGGAAGCTGGGAAGGCGGTGAAAAAGGATGATGGTGACACTAGCACAGACCTCATCGGTGGGAAGACCAAGAAACAGAAGAGCACATTTTTCCAGACAATCAACAAGTTCTTGGACCTGTCCCTGTTCACGCACAGGGGCTTCCTGCTCTATCTGTCGGGCAACGTGATCATGTTCTTTGGGCTGTTCACTCCCTTGGTCTTCCTCAGCAATTACGCAAAGAGCAAGAAGATTGCGAATGAGTCTGCAGCCTTCCTGCTCTCCATCCTGGCCTTTGTAGACATGGTGGCCAGACCTTCTATGGGACTGGTGGCAAACACCAAGTGGATCAGACCCAGAGTCCAGTACTTCTTTGCCATCTCTGTGATTTACAATGGGGTGTGCCACCTCTTGGCCCCCATGTCCACCACCTACGCTGGCTTCTGCATTTACGCTGGCTTCTTCGGCTTTGCCTTCGGCTGGCTGAGCTCAGTCCTGTTTGAGACCCTGATGGACCTGGTGGGAGCGCAGCGGTTCTCTAGTGCTGTCGGGCTGGTGACCATCGTGGAGTGCTGCCCTGTGCTTCTCGGACCCCCCCTGCTAGGTAGGGTTGCTGTGCCCAGGGTGCTCTGCCCATCCTGCCTGGTCTCTGAGGGGTGCCGGGATCCCCAGGCAGCCCTTGGCACTGGGGCGAGGGGCTGAGGACCAGCCCTGAGGCTGCCTCAGTGTTTGGATGGTGGTTGAGGAGGTGGGGGCTGAGCCCCTGGCGTGGAGTGGGAGAGCAATGAAGGCCTGAAGCTGAGGGTGATGGGCTTGGGCTGCTCTTGAGACCATCTCCACAACCTGGAGCAGTTCTGGGGATGTCTCGCTAAGCTGTCCCCTCTCTGTCCCTCAGGGAAGCTCAACGACATGTATGGTGACTACAAGTACACGTACTGGGCCTGCGGGATCATCCTCATCGTCTCTGGGATCTACCTCTTCATCGGGATGGGCATCAACTACCGCCTGGTGGCAAAGGAGCAGAAGGGGGAGGAGAAGGCAAAGAACGAAGGGAAAG